AAATTACAAACCAAAAATAAAAAAATGGAAGCGGGGATTTAAAAAGGAAGAATAAGGGAAAAAAAATCAGTCTAAATAAAACATGATTTCTTTTTGCCTGTGGCTCATACCTTAAGTAAGGAAAACAAAATCAAAATGCTACATAAATCATTTTTTAGCAGCAAAAGTCAAATAAGGGCAACCAGATATAACTTTTTTCTTCTTTTAACCCTGGTCAAACAAACCAAAGACCATCTTATAAATCTTCCTAGATTTTTCTTTGACCTCTTCAAATAATGGGCATTTTTTAAAATAGTTTGCTGCTTATTTATATTTCAAGTCTTTAGAACTTTTAACATATTTTTCTTGATCTGTAAGGAAAATTTATCCTTTTGTCACTTCTAAAAAAAGTCCTTCCCAGTCTTAGCAGAATCTTAGCCAGAGGGGAAAAAAATGTCCAAATCAATTTTCTGATGTAATATATTTTCATCTCTTGTAGGGAATAAGTCATCCATCAGAACTAGTTGAACTACATTTAAATCTCTCTTTAAATTAGTTTCATAAGCATTCATTGCAGCTTGTTCTTGTTTTATAACTTCATAAGGACACGTTCTGTCAATTTCATCAAGTATCTGATCCAGGCTGTCCAAAAATTTGGCTGAAAGATATTCAAAGTTTGCACTAAGGATTTCTCTTTATTCTTTGTTAAGAATAATGAATTAAGAATACAGTGTAAAATTCTTCCAGTAACAGATCAAAATGTCACTTTCTTCAGATCAGCCAACAATATTTTTGATAAATAATAAATTCATTACTTAAGGTACAATGTAATATTCTGGCAAGCACCTGAATATGACAGTTAAGCTGGAACAATTATAAATACTGAAAATATCATTATAATTTTCTTTTCAATGTAATAGTTTATAAGATATTTTTAAAATCACATTTTGTTAATAATTAAATGATGCACTTTAAATACAAAATGCTTCAAACTATTACAGGTAAACAGCTGTATTATTCAAATATTGTGCTGATTCTGAATTATCTAGGCTTATTTAACTGCATCAGTGAAGCCATTATTTTTGCTTCAGTTTTCTGGACTCCACTTTAACCAGTTTTTGTGTATTTATGCAAAATTCAAAATTACTTTCTCCCAATTTAAGTAAAAGACAGAATAGAAAACAGAGTTAATGACAAGAGATGGCATTCAATTATTCTTTGTTGAAATTCATTTTTGTTCTATTTATAGAACCATAAATGTTTAGCATTTGGTTATATATGAAAATGTTCTGAATGTTGAGCTTTTAATTAAAAAAAAAGACAGAAATGAAACATCTGCTTCCGGCAGATCATAGCTTGAATTCAGATATGCATAATGGGACTACTGGAAACTGCCTTCCTTGCTTAGAACTCTATCTACAGCCTCCTTGCCTATGAAAAAGCTCCTCTAGTTTTGAATGATCCTGCTGAATGGCACTTATTGTACAGGAAACAATGGGAGTTGGGAGAAAATTACTCAATATTGAAAAATAGAAGAGGAATATGTAGTTTAAACAGTGAAGGAATTACTCGGGTGGTTTCTAAGAATCTGTATTGGGAATTCAATGAGGCAGTTTGAAACCAGTACACAATGAATGCTCCTTTAATGTCAGGATTGATGTCCTAGTTTGTTTTTTCCTTGAATACATTAAATTCAAAACTGGTATACTGCAAAGCAAAAACAACCTCCACTATTACAATACATGAGATGAATGGCTACCTTGCCAGCCATTTTGTAAAAAGAAATTTATCCATTTATACAAGCCCTTATGGCCAATCTCAAAATTCCAAATGTGTCAAAAAGATAGTGTTTGTGGACACTACTCAACGATATACAATGATATAAAACTGTGAAGAATATTGTGAGAAATGTCTAAAATGAATGCATGATTTAAAAACTTAAAGTCAATATGTATATAACAAAGACAAAAATCCAGTTATACATCTACTCCACAACCAAAAATGTAAGATTATGATAGGATGTTTGAAAGAAAGTATCAACTGTCTGGCAAGTGAAAATTATGAAAAAAAAAATTGTTAAGGATTTTTATGTTGGATAAAAATAGCAAATTTGTATCTGTAAATTTGTATAACAGACCAAAGTGAAAAAGTATATAGAATTTTGAGAACTACTTCTCAAATCACAAGTGTAAAAGTGCAGCTAAAATTACTTATCCTTTTAAATTAAACTACTGAAATGACTGAAAGTTTTGAGTGAAATCCAGTAGTGGAAGAGAAAATGCTGGATTATTCAGACGCTCTTGTTTCTCTTGTACTATTTAAAGTAATCTGCTATTAATTTGTTTCTGACTAGTATTGGTAAATGTCAAAATTCTTCTAGAATTTTGCATGTCTGAAGTTGCTTAAAAGGGGGGACATTTTGTAGAAGGTATTATTCATTTATCTTGCCTTAATGCTGTCAAAGTTGTACCAACAGTATGTTTATATACTGTATATACACTTACCTCCTAAAGAAAATTCCTAATGCTTATCTCTGTCCAGTCTCCCTCCTTTACCCAGTTCATATCAATATAAACCGATAGGTAGGTAGGTAGGTAGGTAGGTAGATAGGTAGATAGATAGATAGATGGATAGAACAAACATATAAAAAACAGAGGGACACAAGTGAATGTTCCTTGTTCATTTCTAAGCACGGGACCACTAAAATATCACAATTCACTTAACTGTTCATAGGAATTAATGAAAAAAATGTTAATATACTAGGGACTTTGTTGTGTACCTCCAGATCCTACAAAATGATTTATATAGAAGCAGCTTACTGGTCTGCTGGAAATGCAGTGTGTGCGTGTGTGACTCTGCCTTATCTATGCTTGGTCTGCCATGTTTGCTAGATAAAGAAACCAAAATCTTGAAAATTTCATTGTCATATATTAATTTCTCTACATTTATGATGGCTAGACTGAACTCAATGTAAATTTAGTAACAAAACTGCACATTTTAGATTTAATGACTTGTCTTAGTTTCAAAATGAGTTTTTACTAGTTTCATTTTTGTCTCCATATTTACCTACTAAAAAAAGCAGAACATATATTTGCTACATAAATAAGATCCCAATTTTTATAGATTAAGTGATATTCAGAGGTGTAATTTAAAATATAATTGATGAATTTCAGATGTAAAACTGCAAAAGCTTGTCACAAAGTAGCAATTCCCAAAAATTCTTTTATGAAGTGTCCTAGCTAGCTATAACGCATGAAATATAACAAAAAGCACAAAAGGCCTTGTGCCCTTAGCTAGATCTATGATAATACAAACACACTCTGTAGAGATTATTCTTTATTTCTAATAAGAATTTAATCGAGATGGCTTCAGTGAAGATTTCTATATTACATATAAATTTTAAAACTACATAAACTCATAGTTCATAATTAAGCTATTTGTTTGTTTATATTTCATATTTGTAAACCACCATCTCCCTTACAGAAAAGGCTCTGCACAGTGTACGATATAACTGATAAACAACGTATCAAATGTATAAAAACTTAAATTAGGATTAAAATTTTAAAACACTTTTAAATTCATTCCATTTCTGAATTCAAAAAGACTTTTTAAATAAAGGGACATAACTTATCTTTGGATGAAATTGAGGCACAATTCCAAGTCAGTTTTTCTGCGCTGCATAATATATAAAGGTTCTGTGCTGTGAATTGTATAATGTGTTAATCTTGTTTTTGCTACAAATGCAGAGCCCTTACCTGTAATATAGCAGTAATATTGACTTATTTTATATAATTGTTGCAAAGACAACAGTCTCTGAGGTACTGTATTAATACACAAGCAAATAAATATTGCTGCTATTATTTTCATTGTCCCATCAGATTATCAGTAGGCCATGGTTTTGCCTTCAATATTCCCAGCTACAGACCACTGACTTTTATGGATACATATTCCAGTTTTTTAAATACATATTTCAGAATTTTTAATCTTTTTTGCCACTCATGTAACACTGAATCTTTTTTGTGATTCTAGCAGATCAGACTTCAAAAGTACTATATGACAATATGAGGCATTAATGGCATCTAAGCAATTGCATATATTTTGCATAGTTACTGGACTTTATTCCCTATCTTTAAGAATATATTTGTATATAGTGGAATTAGTTTTCATAGATTTCCTCTTAAAATTGATAAAAATATGTTTAAATCTATCAGTGATCATACTATGCCTCTATATAAGATTAAAATATAATTTAGATCTATTGAACATCAAATCTTTCATGTTTAAAAGTTTTAAAATATAAACATGTTAGATGTACTATGTTCAGCTTATGTTCATAACAAACTATTCTGTTCTTTAAATAAAATAATAAAAGGAAAGGACAATTGATAGGTGTTCCTACATTAGTCTAGCATTGCAGAGGGAAATAGAGGAAAATATTAAGCATAATTATATTTCAAAAGAAATAACCACGAGGAAGCAAAACAATGTGATTTACAAGGTACTAAGTATTTCAAAAAATATTTAGTTCAGCCTCACCACCTCCTCTAATTTTGAGTTAAGACACCTGGAGCACAAGCAAAATCTATACAATACACTATCTAACTATCACACACTGTTATCTATTTATTTACATGGCCTTCTCATGCATATGTGTCATTCATATAAAGAACAACTGATGACAACATGGAAACAATGTTTATTCCAAAGTCTCTAGCAACAAGAAACCGTGACTGGATATTTTTTACATTTCTGAAATTATATGAGCTTCTTTTAAAAAATATGAATGAGCTTATGCCTTAGAAAATTATGTTTAATACCTATAGGTCCCATAGGAATGAATTTGCTTTAAAAACCAAATACATATATATAAATAAACTAAACTAAATACATATATATAAATAAATTATAAGAGAAGCCTCATTTCTGTTTCTCTTTGACAAATTTGGAATTTAGCATTGGCATTTTTTTCCTCAGGACTTCTTAATAGTTTATATAATTGCATAATATTTTCCGTATTATTCTCTGTCCCCTTTTTAATACAGCTTTACATCAGCAGTGGCCTGAGTATGTTCAGCAGAAGAGGCTACATCCCAGGTACCACAATTCTAGACAATAAGAATACCATGGTTGGAAGCAGTGAAATTGTAGACAGAAACTCACAGAAGTTTGTGAGGGAAATTTCATGCAACAAGTGTGATATGATAGCCTTAAGACTGCCACCAAAAGAACAGAATTTATAATATTACAAATAGTGCTTTGTTTCGTAAACACATTACTTTATTCAGATGATGCACACTTGCAACACTCCTTTTCTACTTTAGAACTAAACTTTTAAATACACAAGTAAATCTAAATTGGCTAACTTTTTTAAATTGAAGTCTGAAAAAGTCATCTGACATTTAGGGTTTTATTTTGTTTTTTAAGGTAACAATTATTCCATCGTGACTAACTCTCCAAAATTAATTTTCTCAGAAGTGCATGTTTTAAAAATTTCCTTGGCTAGCTGCATGTGGCATCTAGTCCACTGCCAATATGTCAGAATCTCTGATCGTCATGAGAATAGATAAACAAGTGACCCACAGTTTTTTACTTTTCATTTTCAGAAGATGAGGACAGAAGCGATAGAAAGCAACAACACCAAACCTAGTGCTCCTCTGCTGACTCAACGGTACCCAAGGATGGTCACTAAAGATGGGCATAGTACACTCCAGATGGATGGTGCCAAAGGAAAAGGAATTGCATACTTAAAAGACGCTTGGGGGATACTAATGGATATGCGCTGGAGATGGATGATGTTGGTATTTTCAGCTTCTTTTGTCCTCCATTGGCTTGTTTTTGCAATTCTCTGGTACTTCTTAGCTGAAATGAATGGGGATCTGGAGATTGATCATGATGCCCCACCTGAAAACCATACTATCTGTGTAAAGTACATCACTAGCTTTACAGCTGCTTTTTCCTTTTCACTGGAGACACAGCTCACAATCGGGTATGGCACAATGTTCCCAAGTGGAGACTGTCCAAGTGCAATTGCTCTACTTGCTATACAAATGGTACTGGGTTTAATGCTGGAGGCCTTTATCACAGGTAAATAAATGCTACCTCATAACTGTTTCAATGTTATGGTTCATATGGAAATTATGTTGTGAAGTTAGAAAAGAGAAAGAAGGAAAAGGCTATGCTGCTGACTATTAAAACATTATTTTCAGAACAGCTTGACAAGCTATACTTCCATTTTATGTTAGTAAAATAATAGTACAAAGGATTTTAAATTAGCAGTGTTATCTATTGTACAGATGGGGTCCGCCCCCACAGAATTAAATGGTTTTAAACTAACAAGATGCAAAGCAGCTGTACAAACAAAGTAAATCCTACTTAGTTCAATAAGACATTTCTCTGTAAATATACTTAGTACATCTTTTTAAAAAAAATCTAAAAGGATGATTATTTGAGGGGTTTTGAATGAGTTATGTATTACAATACAGTTAAGCCTTCTATAAATTCTATTGCACAGCTATATATTTTTGGTATCTGTACTTTTCTATTATACATATAATCATTGTAAATACACAAATATATTTATAATAATGTAAAATGAAACAAATAGAAAAATAACATTTTCGTATTACCAATAACTAAAAAAATGGTTTATCATAATAAAATTTATTGCAAAACAAATCTGTTGAGAGATTATGTAAAACATTAGGCTGAAATAATACATCATAGGAAATTATAGCTCTTGTCCTAAAAATAAATATTAACATATTTTAATTGTTTAAAATTGATGTTCATTTATATTTTCCTGCTTCAAATAATGTGGTAGACTTATTTGTGCTTCGTTTCCATCAACTGGCACCAAAAAAATTACATCTACTTGCATGATCTATATTTAAATTCTCTTTTTATTTAGGTGCATTTGTAGCAAAAATTGCCCGACCAAAGAATCGAGCTCTATCCATCCGGTTCACTTATCTTGCAGTGGTGACACACAAAGAAGGAAAGCCATACTTAATGTTCCAAGTGGCTAATACTCGCCCAAGTCCACTCACCAGTGTTCGGATCGCTTCAGTTCTTTATGAAGAACGTGAAACTGGTCAACTGCATCAAACTACTGTGGATTTTCATCTGGATAGCATAACTTCTGAAGAGTGCCCATTTTTTATTTTTCCCTTGACATATTACCATTCTATTACACCATCAAGTCCTCTAGCCATTCTTCTACAAACGGAGGCTCATCATCACTTTGAGCTAGTAGTCTTTCTTTCAGCCACCCAAGAGGGCACAGGGGAGATATGTCAAAGGAGGACATCCTATCTCCCGTCAGAGATTGTATTACATCACCATTTTGCCTCTATGCTAGCTCGTGGCGCCAAAGGGGAATATCAAATCAAAATGGAAAATTTTGATAAAACCATCCCAGAACTTCCAGCAACAGACACTAAAAGGTCAAAAAGGACTGAAATGGAGATTCGCATCAATGGACAGCACATTGACAGCTTCCAAATCTGTGAGACACAGATGACAGACTAAACTGTGACTGTGTGCCACTTTTTAAACACAACAAAATGCCACTATCACATCAATGCTGTCTTTATCCTCTCTTATTTTCTCATATTTGTTTTGTTCTATGAGTACCTTTTACTTTAGAACAATGTGCAGAACAAAGAGCATAGTATCCATTATACTGGATGAGCCACTAGAATTGCAAAAAAAGTCAGGGACAAAAACCATTGCACAAATCCTTAGAAAACAACAACAACAAAAAAACTTCCTGCCAAATTCAGTGGACTATGATTAAACTGCACTGACCTAAAAGAGAAGACTGTTAAATTCAGAGAGCTGTTCAAGGAATCTAATTAAATGACATGAGGATTAATACTATGGAAAAATGAAGGCAACTTTATTAAAAACATCTCCTCTAAAAAGAATGGTCACCTGAAATTCTCAAGGTCCCATAGGACCTCAAATTAACCTTTCCTTGCTATACAGTTACAACAGAATATGCTGATGCCTAAACATGCTATGAAGAATGTTGCTAGTATTTTCTGTGGCACTGAAATTGCAATCCTGCTGTGCTTGTTTATTAAGGAAAATCGCAAGCATTTGCCAAATCTCTTTGTTCCAGCAGCTAAGAACAAGTTCAACATCCCTAGGCAGTTTTGTGATGAAAATGAACGATAAGAATTTTAAGATATATTGGACTCTAATACTCTGCATTGGGACATTATCAGACATCAGGAAACATCGATCTGTGTTCATAATTCTTCTGTCATGAATAATTCTTCTTTTTCTGTCTTGCAAGGTAATTCTATCAGAAAAGCCCGCTATTTCCCACAATTATTTATCTTTTCATACTATGTTCATTAAGTGCAGATAAACATTAGACTTGACAAAATAATTGTGCAAACATGAAATCTAATTATCAGACTTTGAGCAATAGACCTTATGCCAACTGATTCATGATTATTACCAGAACAGTTTATCAGAACTAATACTGTTGCTGTTTCTAAGTTTAAAAAAAACATTTTGTGAATTTTCAACCTTTTTTCAGCTGGAAAAATCAGTAACTCCTATGTATACACGCATAAGAAAGACTACAACGCATCATCAGAACTTCCAAGTGCTTTTATGTAAAGGCTGATTACAAAGATTCTTCTCAGAAGAACATGGTATAGGTTTTAATAGTTTTACTTTCAAATGGCTTCATTTCTAACTTACAGTTATGAAGAATTTAGTTTTTTGCTCTTGAACTTGGATAAATGTATTTATATGTATATACTGGTGTTGCTGTTGAGATTTGTTTTACTGTTGAGATTTGTTACCAATTATAAAGTCCTTTTTATGAAGCTTATTCTTATTCCCCCAAAACTAAGGAATGGGTTATACCTGACAATTATGGAAGCTATGGTCAATTGGGAACATGATAGGGCTCTAGACAATTAATTAATTTCACAATGATATTAGCTGCCAATTCAAAGCTGCTAAGTTTTTAAAGCATATGAGATCCAATATTTTACAAAGGTTATTAATGATATTCATGTATGTAATCTTAAGCGTAATCATACCATATTCTCAGGATGGATAAATTGTGTTTTACAACTGAAGAAAATAGATGTGAGAGTCATGACAAACCATGCTTTAGAAAAAATAATCTGGAATATCATCACAATATACCACTAAACTCATGTTCTCTTACAATGTTTTGGAAGTAATTTTGCCCTTGTCTGTGCTGAGATTTTAATCTTTTCTTTTACTGAGTACTGTGATTATGGCTTAGCTCAATGCAGAAACCAAACAGCAGTAGTAATTATCACTTTGAAAATTCATTAAATTGCATTTGTACTTTATCTTTTTATCCATCACTTTAAACAACTGTCTCCCTTCTACAACATAGTGATTATAAAAGCTTTTGATCTATATGCCCAATTTTTATCAAATTCCAGTTTAACTATACTAATTTTATAATATTTAAATTTTACAGAAGTTCTAATATATAGATATGTACAATAAAACAAATGCAAACTTTCAAACTACAAGTAAACAGTCCTGATAAAATGTCACATGCTTCCAAATTCAAGTAGAAGCATTAATTTTATTTGCCTCAAATCTTTCACAATTTAAATATTAGTTAACAAAAGCAACTTGTTCTTGTAATGCAACCTTAGCAATTTTAGATACTGTTAAAAGGGTTTTGTAGAAAAGTGCTTATGCTGAAAAAAAAATTATTTGGTTGGACAATTTCAGCATGAACAAGTACAAATGGCACTCAGACTTCAAACATAAAGTGATAATTCTAATTCTAACATTAGTTTTGCTAATCCCAGTTATACTACTACCTTGAATGCATTATTTGGAGATTAGTGCAAATAGCCACAGGTATTTATATAACTTAACTCTCTTACTGAAACTAGTTAAAATCCTCACTAAAGCTTGAAGTTTTGACATTATAACTTTCCAAATTAGCCTACTGTATAGGACTAATATGGGAAAAAACAGGAATGTGAATTCTAAATAAAACAGCCTACTAAATAATTAAAAGAGGTATTTTTAAGCCACAAAAGAATTCAGGATTACATTTTAAATGATTACATTTATTTGAAATTAAGATGATCTTGGATTTAAGACAATCCACAAAAGAAATATTGCACACAAAAATACTTCACATTGCCCAACTTTCTCATTTTGTCAAATAGGATTGCCAATTGCTACTGAAGCCAACAAGAGATTCCTTTCTCTAAAAATTTACATATGCAATAATTCTTATGTGTGTTTATATGTACATGATAGAAACCATATCTAATAAAGGGCAATGCCAGGATAAAAAAAATCTTAAATAATCACTGATTAAAATTATTTGGCTGTAAAATATTTATTTTGTAATATATATATATTTGTTTTCTTAAGTTTTCGCGGGTACTTACATGTATGGCATTCAGCTTTGTTCAGGTATTTTCCCATGTCATACCCGAACAAAGCTTAATACCATACATGTAAGTACCCGCAAAAACTTAAGAAAACATACATACACATATACATATATGTATACACACACACACACACACACACCACGCATACAGTACATGTAGGCAAAAAGAAAATCAATTAATTTTACAAATTGAATATCTTATTTTATAGCCAAATAATTTTAATCAGTAATTATTTAAGATTCATTTTAATCTTAAAATTAAGTTAAATATATATACTTAAACAGAAAAAAGGAACTGTTTCTGGAAATCTGGCTCAGCAAACAGAAAAATATGTATACCTACTCTATAGTAAACTCCACTAAAATTAATGGTTTTCATTCCCAGATAAGTATACAGAGAACATTGCTATAATGGGGATAAACCTATTTAATTCATTTTATTCTATTGACAATGGGGAAGATATCTTTTTCCCCCTCACAAAAAAGAAACAGATTAATAATTGGTCTCTATGTGTGGATGCAAGCACAAGGAAACATGCATACTTATTTATAAGTCCCACTGAGCTCAGTAACTTTTATTCTCTGATAAGAATGTGTAAGACTTAGCATGCTAGTTTGTTTCTCTTCATTTATCACCTCCATGTGCCTATAATCAACATTCTACCTTGTCATCAAAATTTTCTTCTGACTATTGTAATGTCCCTGATTTGACAATCTTTACTCGCCAAGAGAATCTCCGCTTACCCCATATTTCAAAATAAAATTGAGGGGACTAATATAATTCCCCCTAACAGGAAATCAGTAATTTCTCCCTCAATCCTGTCTTCATTTCAGCCCCTTGTTTTCATTGGTTTCTTCTTATAAAATTCATTATATTTTAAAGTATTCTTGGATCTCCCAGTACTGACTTTCACACATGTATAATTATTAATGGAAAAATCCTCATGTATCTTTTAGGTGGTCTGTTTCTTGGTCTAGTATTTATTCTAGAAACTTTAGCAGTGAATATTTCCTTTGTTCAGTTTCTCAAATTATCATATATAATATTTCTCAGTTCTATATTTGATTAACAAAAATGCCATATGGGTTGAAAACTCCTTTTATTAGAACAACTATAGTAACAATCTTAAAAAGTATGAATGTGCTTTTCTCCTCCCTTGTTTTATTCTCATGTAAATTAGTGAAGGGCTGTTTGAGATATTTTCTTATGTTTGTTTCTTGGAATGGGGCCAATCTGTGTTTGTCTGAGCATTATCTTAGTAATGGGTTCTTCCTGTTGTCCTTCAAGGTCATACTCTATTCCCTCTGCCTTTTCTCTCTTTTTTTTAGTATAGCTATTACTTCTGTGAGATAGATCCAGCTGAGAGAGAATGACTTGCTCAAAGTCATCCAGTGACTTTCACGACTTAGATAGAGATGTAAGGCACCCCAGTAATAAGAATCAGTGCAACTGTGTCCCCCAAACAGACCCTTCTCAGTTTTTTTTCAAATGACAATATACAATTTATTTAAAGGCTCCAAAACTTAACATTCCCTAATCTGGGAAGGCTCCAAATACATGAAGTGCCCAGATGGGAAAGTTATTTGCATAAGGAAACGATATTCTTGGGTTGGATAATTTAATATTCAAATATATGAATTCAAATAACAACTCCTGACTACAGAGAATATCAACTGTTATACCTCTAAAGTTTTCAGAGAAAAGACCCTACATACCTGGTTCTTTTCTGCCTGTTTTTTCAAACCTTCTGTCTCCCCTAAAAAAATAGAAAAACAAATATACAATAATGCTTTTTTAAGGAGAAATACTTCATTTTCAAAACTTAAAAAGAAAATTCAAGCTAGAAATTCAAAAATGTATGGAGACAGAACAATGAAAACTGTTCTGGAGATGAACATTAAAACACTTTGCATTATATAAATTTTTTCAATATTTAATTATATTAAACATGTTCTTAGAATTAATTCATATTATCAATACATTTATCCTACTTTACTGCACATTAATACATAACATGCATAACATGCTTGTTTCTCCTTATATTTAAATTATATATGATTCAATTATTTTCTCCCATAATGTTGTTCTCCCATAATATAATTGTTTGTTCCTTTGCACTACAGATTCACATGACATTTTTCCAATGCCACAGGTATTGAAACAAATCTAAAAACCTTTTGAGTCCACATACTGTTGTTTGTTGAATATCAACACAGATTTCCAGGATACACAGGAACTATTAGCTAGTTCAATTCTTGTTCATGCTCTCTATGTTTCTCAGAAAACCATCAATAATATAATTTCTAAGGAATAAAATTTTTACATAATTCTCTAAATCACCAATATTAGATAATACCTATTTTAATATACTTATTTAAGTAAATAATATTTTATATCTTGTTAAAGTGAAATATTTTACAAAATAATCTGGATCTCGTGATTCCATACTTCTTAAGAATAATAAGAATCTTAGGACTATTTCTAAAATTATTTTATTATGAATATTCTCTGGGATAGGATCTGCTACCAGTGTTAAATCTAAAATTTATTCACTTCTTCACTTATAATTTGATCTGTAGTAAAATTACTCAGTATAATATACATTAAAAGTACAAAAGTTGTAATAAAATAAAGCATATTTTCAAAAACACAAATAGAGACACATTCTGATTTAATATTTTAAGAAATATATTCTTAGAAATAAATTCCATCAAGGCATGAACATCAAAGCACAGCCAGGACTGCTCCATTTAAAAAGAAAACATTTCATTATAGTATATGATTTTAGAATTACCTTTCCTCCCAGCTCTGTGACCTATGCATTTCTCTGCCCCCTCCTCTTCCAAATCCACCTTCCACATCGTCAAAACTTCTTTGGTAGAAAGTACTTTCTCCTCGACCTCTGCCTGAAAGATAAAACAGCTATTTCCTCATTACTGTACCTTTCACATATTGATGAGACATATTGAAAGGTACAAATGTTATATCTCCCTAACAAATTTAGCGGAGAAAGGGTATGAAAATATAGTTCATCTCTATCATCCATTTCATTTTTCTACACAACTCTTCCTTAATTTGGTGCTCTCTGCATACAGGGGCTTAGCTCTTAGTAATGTCCATTTATTGAAAAGGCACTCAAATTGGGAAAGCGTGACATAGATTCCCTATCTAACCTACACCCAGCTTATGTGATTTCTTTTAAATATTCTTCATATAGAGACAGAACTCTCAACTTCTTTTCTATCAATCTAGTCATTTGCTGAATTGAATATTACCCAGCAAACCTACATGAGAGACAGTCAACCACTGGGCCTTGACTGACAATTTATCAAAGAAAAGTATTTGTTGGCAGTGTGACAGTGCTGAGATCTCAGCACTTCTCTCACCATGACTATCCATTTTATTTTTATAAACATTTTCAATATATTACTCTTCCATTTCTCAAACCAAACATCTCATTCTTCTATCTCTGACGAAACAAGCAAGTAAAGCCAAGTCCTGCAACATCAACATGCCAGCATATAAAGAAAAGTTTGAAATCAACTTTCTTCTGCCTGACTTGAAACGTTTATTATTTATCTTTAAAGAATGATAAAGCATCTTGGTTATATTTGTGCTACTGAGCACAATATGAACAGATTTAAAGAAAGAGGCAAGTAAATAAGCATGGGTGAGGATGGTTGCTGATCAATCATAGAAACACTCCTTAACGTAGAAATAGGCAGATACAATTATGA